TATAGTGGGGTAATATTGGGGATTACATAGGGATAATGGAAAAGGAAATGGAAACTACTATTTAGGGTTTAGGGTTTAGGGTTCAGGGTTTAGAGGTTAGGTGGACCCCCCACCCAGTAATAGTGACTATAAGGGATAATAGGGATCAAATTGGGTCCTCTTATATTCTCATTATACCACTATTACAGGGTGGGGGGTCCTCCTAAGATATATACTATGGGGTTTAGGGTCTGGGGTTGAGGTTTAGGTTCAGGGGTTTAGGGTAGGAAATAAGGTAATGAAAATCTCTAAATAATCCCCAGTTACTATGTTCCCTTCTTCCCTACTGATAACCATTAAGTCTTTCTTAAGATGGATTCTTACCAAAAACTTGGGACACCCTTTTAGCTTTGTAAAGCAAACATACCCTTTTACAAAACGAGTCGAACACATATTGCCCTGGACTAGCAACGCGGTCTACATCTCTTCTTGGTTGTCGCCGCTACTACAATCCTAGCTGCTCTTCCGGGTGCCCGCGCTGCTGCTGTTCCCTCCTCTCCTCGTTGTGCCTCCTTCTGCTACTCCTTCTCCTTTGCCCCCTCCCGCTTGACCTCCTAGTCTTGTCCCGCTACTGTTGGTGGCGGTGGTGGCAGCGGCAGCAGCGGTGGCGGCAGCAGCGGTGGCGGCAGCAGCGGTGGCGATGGTGTGCAGGCGCCGGTAGCGGTAGCAAGAATAGATGTAGCATCAGCTTCCTATCAGTCAAGATTATGAAGACGATCCGTTCGTAACCTGAAATTCAATGGCTCCAGGTTAATGATACTTTTTTGCATAGTAGTATTTCTGTAACCATGTGTTCATAAGCACGTGTCTCGGAAGCTGTGTTTGCCAGCCTCGCTGCCAGCAGTCGCAAAGTCCCGGTCTCTATCGTACTGACGGCGTGTAGCCTGACACCAGGGCGCAACAAGGTCAAACTGTACCTGTGGATTTCACAGACTAATCCCCATGAAGCGCACGGCAGGGTGGGAGGAGGTTCCCCAGCAGAGGAAACAAGGACCCTATCTTATGTCAACGCTCCTGTTGCTCCACCTTCCCAAGTCAGCTTTAGCCTAAACTCCTAATATCCCCCTTAATATCCCCTACAGTAGTCCCCGATACAATCCCCTAAATAGCCCCCTTTAAGGAATTTAGATTGCGACTCAAGTGGTCTGCAGCTTTTTGTCGACTCTCACTCGTGGGATCCTTTGCAAAGGGCGGCGGTCGGAAGCTGCACCCTCAGCTGATTTGCAGCTCGATGCCCATCTCTTTGAAGTCGGAGGCTCTGGCTTTGACCCGCCTTCAACTGGGCTGCTGTTGAGAAACTTAACATAAGTTACCATAATATGGGTTTATGGTAAACATAGAGTTTCCCTAATATATTGACTGAATTTAGGTTCCTTAACAGCAACCCAGTCAAGGAAACTGCGCAGCATCCCAAACATCCCCAACCCACGACCGCAAGGGGATTGTCTGAGTCATGGTCCCCTTTTTGGGTACCCTAGGTATGAAGAGTTTAGGGTTTATGGGTTTTAGGGTTTAGGGTTTAGGGGCCCCATCATGCCAGGGACCCCAAAAAGGAACCACGATTCTGACAACCCACCACATGGGGGCCTTTTGAAGTCGCTGAAACCTGGACGGCGCTTGTCGCACCAGGTGGCCTCTGCGATCGCGGCTCCACGTGGCCATGCCTGCAACAAGCAACGTGCTCAAAAAGAACGGGCGGGCAAGAGACCACTTAGATGGACTGGGAATTAGCTAAACGGTTAGCATGTAAGTATGAGGGATTATATGGCGACATAAAGGCCTATAATCAGAACGACTAACCATTTTGCTAACACCCGTGCCATCTAAGCACAATATGAATCGCGCGGGCCTTGAAGTCCAGATCGCCCAGCCCATGACTGGCATTCAAGACAGCGCAGAGTCATTTTTAAGGGCTTCTAAACTCCATGTCGTCATGCTTTGGGTACTGGCTCCACCCAGCAACAGTCTGTAGAAGAAGGAATATTAAGGATATAAATAGATACATATATACATATATATATATACATACAATTTACAACTATTATCCAACTGTTACAAAGTCGGAGCTGTACTCAAATCATACTCCTCAACTGGGTTGCTGTTCAGGAACTTAATCTATGTTACTATATTCCGGGAAGCAGATGAACTGCTATGTATACCCAGCATGGTAGCGGAACTTTAATTCCTTTAGAGCAACCCCCATAGAACCCTAATCCCTAAACCCTAAACCCCAAAAAGCCGGATTGCACCTGATGTACTCACTCCACAGCTGTCCTTGACCTCCGAGCACATTGGCGCCGTATCCATCCAGGGGCATGCTGTAAACTTTCCTGGGTTCTGGTTCTAAGATAAGGGTTTAGGGTATATAGGGTTTGGGGTATACAGTGATTCTGGCAGGACTACATAAGGGTTACACAGGGTTTGTAGGGTATCCAGGGTTTAGAGATATTACCCAAACAAGTCAGAATCAAACGGGAACTGAAATGCAAAATGGAAACTGAGGTTTACATACAGGTTATGCAACTTACGCCTGTTAGCAGGGCATGAAACAATTGAAAAGCAAATTTTGGGAACCATTCCTTCGTTCAATGCTAACCAGAGCAAATGCTTTAAACTGCCCCCACTTTTTTTGAATAGGTCCTTGCAAGCTGAGGAGATGGAAAGCTATTCCCAAGTGCAACCTAGTTTCTTTAGATCCACAACACCTTGCTGAGACTCATAGGGGTCCGATGGCCCCTGGGCAAAATCCAAGTATGTGGCGCTGTGCGGGCACATGACCACTGGCAATCCACTTCGGCTCGCCACGTGAAGCTTCGAAGGAACGTTGTCCCAATCCCGCCAGATCCTTACTCGCACTCAATGAACATAATCTCTATAACTATATGAGCTATAGTCTAAACTCCTAGTATCCCCCTTAATAGCCCCATATAACACTCCCCTATATAATCCCCTATATCTCCCCCCTTAAGGGAGTTTAGACTTGAGCTCATATAATCCCTGAGAATTCCTCTATGATAGTCCCTATATTCACTCCGGCACCTTGAACCTTAACAAAACTTTGAAACCCTGAACCCTAATCCTGCCGTTAACCTGTACTACTGTAATCCATAAAAACCCTCATGCTCCCTATATTCACTCCCACACTCCCTGTTAAGCGCCAGTAAGCCATAAACCCTAGACCCTAAACGGAAAAAACAGTCTCTGTTTCTTTCGCTTCCGATATTTTACTTAGTTGACACCGTCAATCCCAATTCCCCGCATTCGGCAACCCCTGAATCCGAAACACTAAATGAGCCATTGTCTAAACTCCTAGTATCCCCCTTAATAGCCCCTATAGTAGTCCCCTATATAATCCCTTATATAACCCCCCGTTTAAGGAGTTTAGACTATAGCTCAAACAGAGAATCATGACCACACTGCGCTCCGGCAATGGGACTCCAGTGGACAGGGCTTCATCCCAAACAACACCTCACAGGGGCTTACTCTAAGGTATTTGGAACCCCAGTAGAAATTATAATTTCAGCGAAATATTAGGATTCTAGGTAACAGAAATTACAAATTAGTTTCAGGAACCTTGTAGCTTAGGGTTTAGGGTTCAAGGCTTGGGGTTCAGGGGCTGGGATTCGGGTTTGGGATGGTCTAGGGTTTAGGGGCTGGCTAAACTCAGCGAGGGTCTACTCTTGGGATAAGGAGTATAATAACCAGAGGTAGGATAAAAGGGTCCTTTACACTGGAGAGTATAGAAGCCCGACCAAAAACAATGCCCACCTACGGATTTCTCGAAAATGGAGGACCTTGTAAGGGGGTTATACTTGGAAGTCAGGGGGACTTCGTAAGTAGGTTTAATAAACCCTCTAACTCATATGATAAGCTTGTTTATCTCTATTGTTAACCTACTTATTAAGTCCCCCTGACCCTCCAAGTAGGCGTATAGCCCCCCTTAAGTAGATAGAATATGGGGTATATGGGGATCTTATTATAATATAACCAAAGCCATATTCTATCTACTTAAGCACGCCTGATCGCCCCATACGGTTGGCAGCTTCGATAGCTTTCTTGGTGAAAGTACCGGCAATCTGCCTAGCTGAGCCCATGTTGTTCTCTTGCTCAAATAACTGTGCGCTCGGGGAGCTGTCCCACTGCTTGCTGGAGACTTCATCACCACCCACATGGTAGTAATCGGACTTAATCAGTGTTGACACTTCACTCACCAAATCTGACACAAATGTAAACGTCCTGTCATTTGGGGCCAGGACATAGTCTGATACGCCCCAGGTCTCCATGACCCGCGGTGTTCCAGAGATTGCATCCTTATTGCTAGACTCCGGATAAGCAGCTACAATTGCCTGGGCATGTCCGGGCAAATCGGTTTCGGGAACTACCATGATGTGCAAAGACTCGGCATAGCTGACAACTTCATTGATCTGAGCTGTCGTGTAGAAGCCGCCATACCGTTCACGCTGAATGTCCAGCTCTCGTGCCCCTGCTGGGTGCCATCGCGCCAGGCACCCACCTCTGTCAGCTTCGGGTATTTGGAAATGGGCACTCTGAAGCCCTGGTCATCAGAGAGATGCCAATGGAATCGATTCAGCTTGAAAACGGCCATGGTCCGGAGCAGGTGCTTAACCTCTTCCGCCGTGAAGAAGTGACGGCTGACGTCAAGCATAAGGCCGCGCCATTCGTGCATTGGGGCATCCTGGATGCGCACCTTTGGAATCGAAACTGCCTCATGAACTGACATTAGCTGTCGGAGGGTCATCATGGCGTTGAAGAGGCCTTGGCTAGTTGGGGAAGTCAACGTGATCCTCATATCTCTGACCTCGATTTTGTAGGCCTCGTCTTTGACACCATCAACGTCCACAGCTTCAGACTTCAACTCAACGACCAAGCCAGGCTTGAAGACGGGAACCTCAAATCTAGGGCTTACATAAGGGTTATATACTGTAAGGGTTATACAAGGGCTCTATACTGGTTATATAGGGATATCGTTCCTAAAGAAGTTGAAAACTGAAATGGCATCCGGAATGGGGGTTACATTACACAAATAGGGCACACCCGTATAAATCCCCCACAACCCCTTTCCTCCTCATAGGGTTTAGGGTTTACGGACACCAGAAAACCGACCCCTATTCGGAAACCAGTGACCACTGTGAACTCGCCGGCATCCAAGACATGTGCCTTGAGGGCGCGCTGATCCTCTGCTGTTCCTGGCGAAAAAGCTGTTCTGCACAAAAAGAAAGTCCCTCTAAAGAGGCTGGGGGTTCTATAGGCGTTGTATCGGGATCTATAGGGTTTCCAAAAGCTAGGATCCCTTCGGGAGGGCCCCTGTTAATGAGGACTTCAGTGTTTGGGAGCCTTTAGGAGTGTCCTCCCCTCATGGGGTTAGGGTTTAGGGTCTGCCTGTTCATGGCAACTACCCCAGACCCTAAACCCCGAACTTAGAGCAAGTGAAGCCCGGTCACGCCTCCTGTCACCAGCACCGAGGAACGCAGCGGCAGTTCCAAAGGTTCAGACGAAAGAAACCTGGATGGTACTTTACAAACCGCAAAAACCATAAAGGGGTATAGAATAAGGTCTAGGACTGGGCGGTACATACAAAAACCCAAAAATCATGTGGGGGCATAAAGGGGTGCATAATAGGGTCTAGGATGTTTTGGGATTGGGGCTTAGGGTGCAGGGTGATACTTTGAAGGACTCAAAGGTTACTTGTGACTCGATTACGGCAAAATGCAAAATACGATGGGTACCGAGAATGCTGCGTGACCCTACTTACCTGAAACCTTGGGAATTATGGTGCACGCAGGAATTTTAGGGTTTTGGGTTTCAGGTTTTGGGTGTAGGGTTTAGGGCATCAACAGTATGAATCATGTTCAACCCTAAACCCTAACCCCTAAACCCCTAAACCCTAAACCCTCAACAGTTTGGATCATCCCAAGTGCCGCCTAGAAACTCGACACTTTGCGGGGCCGGCACCAAGTTGTGGTGTCGAGCAATCTCCTCTGAAGGGGTCCTCCATGTAGACCCCACGATATTGGGGGTCTATGGGGGTAATATAGAGGTTATATAGGGATAATGGAAAAGTAAATGGAAACTACTGTCGACCCCTAATTAACAAACCCCCTCCCCTTAATAGGAATTGCAACAGGGATCCTAAGATTAAGGCCTTCGAAACAAGGGGCTTATTAAACACGAGTCTACATTGACATGACCTTGCATGCCGCTGGCATCAACTCATCAAAATCTAGGCATCAAAACGAGGGTCAAGGACACCCCAGGTGTGTTGTTACCGGGCGGGTACGCCCAAATGAGGCTCATGTAATGCTCGTATTGAGGGTAGTTGGGCTGTGTGAGGTCTACGTAGGCCTCCCTTCAGGATACTCAAAACTTAAACCCTAGAATCCTAAACCCTAAACTTTAGGGTTGAGGGGATGGTCCTGACTGCGCTTTCTTGCCCGGCTGTCTTTGCACTGGAATGCAACCTGCCGATTGCACCAGCAGACTATGACGAGCCTCAAGTAGACGTGTACACGAAACAGGGTCATCTCTGACAGTGTTCACAGCACTGTGGGAGACTACCTGGTTCTAACCAGTGTTGACCAGTGAACCCAAAACCCTAAACCGCGTGGATATGTATCTCGAGAGTAGGAATAGAGAAGCATTTACTGAGCTTTCCCATATCTTTTCCCACTGGTAGGATGACTGTGCCGTTCACTGTCCACACTCTATACTGGGTTGCTGTTAAGGAACTTAGATTAAGTTACCATAATGAGTATATATGGTAAGTAGTAGGGTTTCCCCAGTACAGTAGCTTAAGTCAAGCTCCATAACAGCACCAACAAACTACTACCCAGAATTCCATGATTTTACAACATATCTAGCCCTCTCTCAGCGCTACATACTGATGAAGACCATCCTCCAAGTAGGATGTGTCTCTAGGATAAGACGACGAGGATATTGGCAAACCCCAACCCCCATAACAAGGATGCAATGAAAGTCACAATATTATGATAATCACAAGGTCCTCATTTTTGGGGCTGGGGTAACCAAAGTTCCCTTATCAAAATCCTAAAGACCAAACCCTGAACTTGCCAACCAGCTGCTCTCTATCCTCTCTGCTGTGCCGCAGCCTTCGTAGCACCCAGGCCTTGCAACAAAAAAAAAGCACAGCCTGTGGGGGCTCCTCAAAGCAGACCTCTGTATGGTAGTTTCCCAAAATAGGCGGGACACCAATATGAATCCTAATGTACCATAGTCATTATTTTGGGGGCCACCAAAATGATGTACCCGAATTTTGGGAAACTCCCGTATTGATCCAAGATGCACGAAACTCACCCAACCTCCAGGCATGTCAGCAGAGGCACGAAATTGTCAACTTAGACTTGCCAAAATACGTGAGACATAGCCTAAACTGCTTTTGGGGGGGTTATATAGGAGACTATATAGGGAGTATAATAAGGGTTCTTAAGCAGGATACTAGAACTTTAGACGGAAGCTGGGGGTGTCCAGTTCAAGGGTCCCTTGTGGGGGGTACCTGTAGCCTATAACATGGATCATGGTAGTTTGGAATCTATATTGGGGTCCCTGCCTTTACAGAAACTACCATACGATCCATCATGCTCGACTTCCTCACGCCCTTTGTTCTGGTGCCCAGGGTTTAATCCGTAAGAAAAAAAAACTACAAACTTGACACTTGGCCATGGAAAACGTTGAGGATGAATAAAGAAAGCAACAGCACACCAAGGGCATGAAACCAAAGCACACGGTAAGTAGAATCCAGAAGCAGGGGACTCCTTCTAAGGACCCCAAGAGAGGCGCTCATTTTAGGAAAACCCTCAGTATGGGCCAAAAGATACTATAATCCCGACATAGGGACCCGCCAAAGAGCTGCCCAAACCCTAGGCCCTAATCCCTAAACCCTATATCGCTGTAATACCCTTCTATAACCCTCCCTCCTATATCCTCTAAAAAACGACCATCAATCTTGGAAAACCTTAAACCCCACACCCTAATCTCTAATCCCTAGACCCTAAACCGTAAACCCTAACCCCAATCCCTAAACCCTAATCCCTAAATCCTACACCCAAAGCATTTTGGGAATCCACAAAGCGCCAGCCGCAAAGTCCTGGCCTGTCCAAAGAGGCCCGGCTATGAGCCTCAGGTCGGATCTACAAAACCGCCTACTAGGTCTAGGGTTTAGGGTTTAGGGGTTATATAGGGTTATATGGGCTATATAGGGGTAATAACTGTCAGAAGTACAGCAGGGAGGCTGCAACAAGCTGCAAAGGCATCACACTGGAGGCTGTTGCTGACCAACGCATTAGCAAGGTGTCCTTTCATAGTCCGATTTACATGTAGGTCACAAGATGTGCCTGGCTTTCGGCAATCATCAGAAGCTGTGCCGGTGAAAGCACCCGCCCAATGCTCTAAGCATTGCAACGCCAGTCAAAACTTTCCCGTAGACTTTCCAAGGTTTTGCATTTTTGGGGCATAGTAATAGACTGGCAACACATATACTAAAGCTAGCATATGATGGCTGCGAAAGTTCAAGACAGCACTACTGCACGAGCGACTGCCATGCCCCTCAGACCGGCTTGATCCTGAAGTGGAGGCCGATGAGGCTGAACACAAAGCATTTTAGATCCTGCACCAGGTAGTAGAAGACTCGCAGACCTTCGGGATCCTTGGAAGCCTGGACGTCTGCTAGAGATCCAATCTTGGAAGTGGTGAAGGAAATGTGCTCTTTCCCACACACAACCTCCAGCTCTTGCCGACCAATACGATCCGGCGCTGGCCAATGGTTGTCGTCTTCCTTGAGGATCTCAGAATCCTCGATCATCTTCCTGAGCTCCTTCATGACTGCCTGTGTGACATGTGCCTCCTTTCGGATCATCACATCGTTCTTGTAGTTGGAATTGTTGGCATACCGGAGCCGTCCGTCTGGGCGGAACTCAAACTCCAGAAACTCATGCCCGAACTTGCCCTTGTGACCCACGTAGTAGCGCACGTAGAAGTCCTGAAATTGCTTTAAACTAAAAGCCCGTCAAAACAAACCAAATGCAGGGAATATAGGAGTGGAAAGGAACATGGACATCACTATACTCATGGGGATTAAGTCTGAACGCCTAGCAGCCCCCTTAGTACCCATCTTAGTAGTCCCCAACATAATTTCTTGTATAACCCCATTTACGAGTTTAGATTCTGGTTCATATAATGACTCATATGCCTAATAGTTCATATAAAGACTACTACGAGGATTCATGCTTTCCTCAGACACTCTGGCCTACATCCCAGGGCTACCTACGTTTTTATTCATGTCCACCCTAAACCCTAAACCCGGAACCCTAAACCCTAAATTTTTCATGTCCACCTCGCCTACTCCCGGTCT